ATCCTAATGCAGTGCATGCAGTGTATCTTCTTTGTGCAGGCCATTCACTGGAGCAAGTGTGGTCAGTGATATAGAAGACCAGGAAGGACAGTTTCCTTCCTTCTGTAAGTAGCTCTTTTATTGTTTTGTGTACTTATTTTAATCTTTTTTAAGTAGTAAGTGCACAAAATAATAAATTTCCTTTTTTATATCTTCTTTTTGTAGATCCATTGGGGCAAAGAATTCAGCGACATCGTCTTGGCCACTCCCATCTGGTCACATGACTGCCAAGCCACTCTCACCCAGTTACATGGCTGGCAAGCCACTCCCACTCAGTCACATGGCCAACAAGCCACTCCCACAAAGCAGGCCACACCTACAGAAGACGTTCCAAAATTTTTTGAAACGCACTACTGATCTGTACCCTCAGTCACCTGAATAGTGCAAATGGCTGTGGAACCTTCTTGGAACTGCTGAAAGGACTGGGTTGTAAACAGGATGGTGCTATCTCTGTTGAGAGGGCTGTTCAATCTTAATGTAGATGACCTCTTTCAAGCTAGAGGTCCTCTCTATCCAGAATGTGAACTTTTACTATCTTCAAAAGAGTGACCTTTATGCAGATGGATTGCTGAATCTTGCCCTAATGGATTTGTTCTATGTTGTGTTATGTGTTTGAAGTGGATGTTTTGTTTCTCCATTGTACAGATCTGCACGTCCACATTGCACTGCGTATATCACATTGCTCAGTTTGTGTCTGGATGTTTTAGCTTCAGGGTGGACAAGTTTCTGCCTTCGTTTATTTGGGGTTTAAAGTGTGTATGTATAGTATTGGTTGAAAATCCTCCTGAACTTTTCACATATTCCTGCAATGTTTGGAATGACAATGTTGCTTTCCTTGTTGTTTTTTGTCTGTTATGGAGACACTCCTGCTGGTTCTTTCCTTTTCTTTCCTTCTTTCCTCCTTCCTTCTTTTAGTTATTTGATGAAGGCCCAGTTGAGATAGCTACAAGTTCTGAGGGCTTCCTTGACGTGTTTTAGTTCTTTTTCTTTCCTATCTTTGCTTTTCATCTTTGCCTACCATTTTCCTGCCTACTTTAATTTGTATTCCTAGTCTGTCTTTTAGCAATAGGAGGTTCAGCTGAAGTAGACATAACCTAAAAATGGAAAAGGCATGTATGTAGACGGCAAAAGCTTGTCAAAATGATCCCTTTGGGAGGTAGATAACAAGGAACAACATTGATAAAGATCACAAAAATGTTACCAGGAGACAAGATTGTCCCCCCCACTCAATGGCAGATTTGTGGAGCAACAAGACAAGGGCTTAGGCAAACAAAATCTGTAAGTACATTTATACCATGTAGACTTGGTGGCTTCCGATCCACATAGGTGTCAAGAAGGGCATCCGGCCAGTAAACGCTCAGTTCCACTCAGTTGCCCTGACTCCACTCTGAAACAAGCAATTAAAGGGTGGTGCAAAGAAAAGCAATGCAATTCAAATTCTGGTTCCAATTACTGTTGTTAACCAACAGTACCTGGTACAAGTAGAACAAATAAGTACAAATAAAGAAATCACTTTCTTTCATTTAGCATAAAAAAATGTAGAGCTAATGCTATGAGAACATCTAGGAGGTAAAAAATATTAATAATTACTCATAAATAAAATATTATTTTTAGAAAGAGTTCAACACAGGTATTGAAGAGTTTTATTTTGAGCAGCTCTACCTCCAGTTGGAATATTCCCCCAGTAAGTTTGAATTTGTGTCCTGTTAAGGAAACAATTTATGTAGATGTTTTAAATAAGAGTCAGTGGGATTTTGAAACATTTCTGCTCCTCCCTCCCTCCCTCCCTCCCTCCCTCCCTCTCTCCCCCTCTCTCTTGGTAAAGTCACAAAGAAGGTAGGACGATAGCCTTACACATGTATATACCATCTTATTTTAAAAAATAGGCAAAGGAGATTTTTCATCCCAACTCTCATACTTATCAATGAAAGCAGTGATTCAGTATATAACGAACATATTTACTTGGCAGATGAGTCTTAGGTATGATGGATAGATTAGCAACTTAATTGTAGATAAGAATAATATACAGATGATTTGGCCCTTTTATGCAAAGTCTTTTCTAATTTCCAGAAATTGAACTCTAGGCTTTTTCCTTCCACCAATGAACGTTAACTTGGCAGTTTGCTTGGTAGCCTTAGGCTACATAATAGTCTTCTCTAGTCTGAGAACTGCTAGTTGCTGCCTCACTAGATTCAGTTCTTTTAAAAAAATTAAGTCTTGCAACTTGCCAGTACAAATAGCCATGGAACTGAGTTAAGCAAAGAAACAAGAACAGTGAATTCACTCCAATGTGCTTCATGAATGTCAGATCAAAATGTACATTTCTGTGGCAATTTTTTGTGGTTTCAAGCATGGAAGCCTTGCATCAATCTATTTCAAGGTTGGAATGGTTCATTTCAGTTTTCTGTGACCATAACATTGAAATTTGCTGCTCATAATGACTAAGTTTCATTCTCAGTTTGGAACAGCATATTTTGTTCTGACCTTGAAACAAACTCTTGGAATACATGAATATTGTTTCAAGCACATACACTTAAAAAGATATCTTGAGCTTCATACATTTTTACATACCATTAATCTAAAGCATGCTGGTTATGTTTTATCTTTTCACCTTTCCACCCATCTCTCTTCCTTTCTTGGGTGCTTGAAAGAGAGAGGATCAACAATTCCTAAAGATGCAGTCTTTGACCCCTGCAGGTCTACTTCCCTTTGATTTGACATTCTCTATAATTTTTCTCATTTTCAGAATTTCAAACTAGTTTAAGTAGATTTTTAATACTAGGATTACACCATATCTCCTACTTCCCAATTATTCCAGGCGTAGGCACTCAACATTAGAAAGCATGTAATAAAGTTAAATGTCTATGATATCTGGCATATTCGTTAAATGAAAACATCAGAATATGAAGCTGTCTGTAAGCATCCACTTTCTTATCACTTAGATTCATTAGTTCAGTGCTACCAAAAAAATGAAAGCAAGGGTTAAAAAAAACTACCTTTATTTTTTCTTCTTCATCCATTACATATTTTTAAACAGGGATGTGTTTTATTATTCATACATTCAGGCAATGTTGATTTTATTAGTTTAGACCCGGAAAAAGCATATAAATGCAGACATTGTTGATTTAACCTGAACACAACTGTGTAACTTTCTACTGACCAAGTCATGTGTGAGAACATTCTCCTTAGCATTAAAATGGTGTACTTAAAATATTGCTAAACAGCAATGTCTAGATTCCAGTCTTTGCAGTAAACGAACAAGCTTTACATTGATTTAATCTTCATCATAACTGGATTAATATACACAGTGTTATGTGTAAGGAATTCAGATCATATAAACACTGTACAGGGCAAAGAAAACCTTGAAACGGCTAGGTGTATGATAAGAAATATATTGCAAGTATTTACAAATATAATAGAGAAAAGAAATTTGGTCAAATACTGCAAAGAAGGTGTTATCCACCTACCTTCTTTTTTAAAAAAAATCAGCCTCTTAGTGCTTAAAGTATAATCAGCTGAAATGGTCAAGTGGAACTTTTTTTATCAAATCATTTAGTTTATGCTTTTATTGATCAGATCAAGTTGGTAAATTAAAATTTTATTACAATTATTAACAGCAACAGTGATTAACAACAGCCAGATTTGCACAATGTGTTTATATGTGTGCCTAATTCAAGAAAACACACTGCAGTTTGGCAGTTAAGAAAAATAAATTATAAAACAATCCCTGTAATGCAATAATGAATTCAACTGGTGTGCATTTATCAATTAATACACAGTTTGAATGTTACCATAAGATATTAAAAATAAATAATTATGCCCAAAGGCATGCACTGATAGACAAAAGTTAGCTCTAGGAAACCCTTTTTATAAGAAGACACATAATTTGAATTTTGGTCAACAAATCTGTCTAGCCATTTTATTTCCTTTACTCAAATCCTTATGATACTGGCAGCTTAACATGATAAACATACGCTTCGGTCATTATGGCTTTAAACAAAGCAAACTGAAGGGAGAAGGAGGAAGAGAAAGAACTGCCTTTTCTAATGAACTGTTATTTCCTAACACAGGCACTTTAAGGAATTATCGGGAAAGTACCTAATCAATCCAATCATCTGTATTTTAGTGATGCAGTATTTTGTTGAAATGTAAGCATGTTCTAGAAACCCCCAGTGGCAATTATAAACCACAGGCTAACATTCATTGAAGGAAGCATTATGTTTAACCGACTTCCTTTCTTAAATCAATAATATACATACTTCAGTTTGTTACTTGGCACATCCAGACCTTCATTTTTAAAACTATCATTCAACAATAATGTTTGATTAAGGTTTTGTGATTTCCCACTCTACATGTTTGCAGTTACTTCCTAGGAGTGTGGTTTTATAACCCTTAAGCAACTTTCAGTTGATGTTTCAGCATTGATGTCATACATAACTGGAAGCACAACTTGCATTATACAAATATTTGCATTTCAGTACAAGCACTATTGCCACTTTAACTACACCGCATCTCAACTAGAGGTACAACAAAAGCAGATTTGAAAGCCCAGATTTTACAAACACTGATACACTTCCTCCCTTAGAAAGCACAGCATTTAGGCTTGTCTTCAAATGATTCATCCAGCTTCTGTCTTAGTACCACCAGGCAGTGACTCTACCATATTTGTAATAATATTAAGTGGCAAGATTGGAAATGTAGTACCACCAGAGCAACAACTGGGGGGAAGGGGGGGGGGGAAGGTTTTTTTAAAAAAAACGCTATTACTGAGAAGAAATCTTAAAGCAAGATATTTTAAATGCTTGGACAATAATAGCTTAATTTCCAGTGTTCCTTTTTTTAATCGTTTTCCGTATAGCATCTCCCAAACGTTAGCAAATACCAGGTTTATAAAGTATCTGGTCTTCAGCTAATCACTGCTAATGTTTTCTAAGTCAAATTTTCTGAGGAAAAAGACCATTTTTTTGTATCTTGGTGATCAAAAAGGTACTTATGTTGACACAGCAGTAAAGCTCCCAGGAGAGATGATCCAAATTAAAAATATGTTGAACCAGAAAATCAAAGCAGGTATGAGAACCTTCTCACTTAAAGATGATGCTGGAAAAATGAGTGGCAACTAGAGATGACTTATCATGATATAGCAGATGAGTAAGTGAGTAATTCCACACCGTCTCCTTTCCTCCAAAGTCATTTGTGACGTTGAATGGTTTTCCTTTTCCTTCGCTTGAAGAAACAGCAGCACCTAAAATTATTCATAAAAACAATCTTATATAAACAGAAAAAACATGCTTGATAAAGGTTACCTTGAAAGTTATCATGAAGTTTTGAAATTGAAGCCATTCAGATAATATTAAAATGCATTATAGCAAACAAAAATGTATAATAATGAAGACACATAATACAAGCCACTCCATTATGTATCTAAATAGATGGTGTGATGAGATAGTACAGTCATAGCCAAACATCAAAATAAGCACAATGCAGGCATTTTCTTATCTGGTTTAATCAGTGTTTAGAAACAATATATTATTTATGTATTGCAATGTCCCACTATTACAATTAGCCTATTATTTTAATACATTGCACAGATTTTGTGGGTATTTGAGAGGATAGTCTTTAAAAAAAAACAGATTCTCCTTTGCCCTGAACAGCTGAGAGAACTGCAGTTCTAAAATTAGTACTAATGTGTAGCAATACATCTACATAATTCTATGAGTTCTAAAAAGTCTCTAGGTAATTAATATCTGTTTAATTTCTTTGTTGTTTAATGTTAGCTATAGCATTACTAAAATCTAAACGCTTATTGTATACTGCAGAATTAAGATTGACAAATGTAGTGAACATTCCTACCAGTTTATCAATAGGAAAGCATTCTGGACTGCTTTTGCTGTTTTTATAATAGTGTATAGACCATATTATAAAAGATAATTACATCAAGTAAAACTATGTTATCAATAAAATTGCCTAAGATCCTGGAAACGAAAAAAAATGGCATTGCTGTTTCACTAAAACCTTGCACAGCAGCTGAACTTCAGAAGACACTAGTGGGCTTGCAAGGTAAAGATATATATTCAACTGCATATATTCAACTGCACATATTCATTTTGGATCTCTTGGTGGGGTCAGTATTGCCTACAAAATGTATGCATCTTTCAAGAAATATCAGCAATTAAATGAATAAGAAATTTTGAAATTTCTTCAAAGCTTGGCATTTTGTCTATAAGAACTACTATATCTGCAATGTTCATTCAATTTCTAAGGAAGTTAAATAAATCTTTGCTTGAATGAACAGTAATGAGAAACTCAGAAATTCAAGTATATGAATCAGGACTTAAACTTGGATCTCCAAATTGATTTATTATAGTAACAGGGAATTTAAAAAACATATCAACTAGGGACTGAACCAAGCCTCATTTTAGAACAAATTATGTGTATAATCCCTTAGCAAAACGTATCATCTAGCCTTTAAAACCATGACAAATCAAACATTGTCCCACCAGACAGAAACTGTAAATGTCTGTTCTTCTAAATAAATTTGTAATTAATCTTAAGGGATGATGTATTGGTGTGATTCACTGTAGAACTGAAGAAAATGAGAACAGTATCATGTCTTAAATGCTAACATCATCTCCATTTCTTCGGACATAGAGACATTCTGTAAGATTTCAGCTGTGTTAAAAAGTACAGTATTTAAATACAATAAAAGAACTACCATAACTCCAGCAAAATGTGTGCTCTTAAGTAAATGGTCACTAGAGGGCCTCACTCTCATATGTACTAAACATTTGCTAAACATTTCCAAATTCTATTCTCTTCTCTCTCTCTCTTCTCCTCAAGGACTCAAATGTTTGTGAAGCCAACATTTATATTAAAACTATTATTAAAAGTTAAAGTTAGTCTATACTAATTTATTCTACCATGCATTAAAATATTCTAAAATGTTTCAGATCTTATACAGGAAACAGAAATTCACTGTTTACCAGGAATTTGTTGAAAAACATTTTTCAGAGAAACTACATTAGAGAATGCAAACATATGTTAATCTATTAGTATGAATACAGTGATTAATAGATCTTAAATGGAATTAATCAGCTAGTCCTACTCAGAATGGTGAACTGTTTTTCAAGAGACCATTGTTTGCCTTATGGTATTGTTTCTACTGCAGCTTTTTGCAGTGATGATCTCTGGAAGAAAGATACTTTTAATTATGGACAAAACCCAACCATCTGCCATAATATGAAAATAAAACCAGAGGAAGGGGGAAAAACAGAGACGTACTTTCTCTGAAAAGGTTATATTGGGAATGCTGATAGTCAAAAATGTATATGGAGGATACTAAAAAAAGAATTCCTTTGGCCTAGTTTTTTGCTATTAAAGTGTCAGAAAAAATGAGCTGGAATAGTTTAGTTTAGTTTATTCTTGATTGGCAATATAGATACCACTGTGTACTCTAACCCAGTGTTTTTCAACCTTTTTTGTGCAAAGGCACACTTTTTTCATGAAAAAAATCACGAGGCACACCACCATTAGAAAATGTTTAAAAAATTTAACTCTGTGCCTATATTGACTATATATAAAGTAATTTTCCCACGGCACACCTTACACTATGTCACGGCACACTAGTGTGCCGCGGCACAGTGGTTGAAAAACACTGCTCTAACCAATAGAGCAAGTATATTTTGTAGTTTCTGTACTCCCAACTCCAACTGAAGCATCGTTGCAACTAAAGAGACTCACTTTCAAATGTTAAGCACTTGATCCTACCCTTAGATTCAGAAAAAGGATAGAATCATATATGATATAGAAAAGTAATAACATAACTTTTTATTACGACTCAATCTGTTTTATGTAATTGTATTATGTGTTTAAAAGGCTTCTTCTGAATACATTGGAGTACAATACAAAGCATTTCTTTTGAAAGTGTTCATGCTTGTCATTTTACATGATATTAAGCCTGCTTTGAAAACTGATCTTTTCTTGAATGATGTATTAAGCATTTGATTAGTTACTTGGGAATATACTTTTATCTTCTAAGAATGAGAGTAAAAAGTGGGATCTTTAATATAAGACTTGTTCCTTGGCTAGGCAACCTTGATAATTTGCATCTAAATATTTTCCAAAGAGAGAAATTTTCTAGCTAAAGCATCCAAAATTTATCCTCAGGGGACACTGGTGCTACATTTGGTAGAATGTATCTAATAAGAAACAACCTTTATAATTTTATCTGTGAGCCAGTTTTGTCTAGTGGTTAAGGCACCAGGCTAGAAATCAAGGAACTGTGAGTTCTAGACTCAGCTGGCTGGCGGCAGGCAGGGCATCTCAACACCGGAAGCGCGGCAAGTGATAAAATCTTTTTCTTTCATGAGCTTCTGTTTCGTCCTTTGCAGGGAAAGAAAAACTCACGAAAGAAAGGCCACAGAGATCTGACCCGGGGTGACTTTGCATGCCACCTCTAGATGCCATAGGTTCGCCATCATGGGACTAGACTGACTTAGCAGCAGCAAAATAAAATTCAAATATTTCTATCAACCCAATCACCTCCCTCACAATCCTTACTTGTTCCATTTCAGCTATGTGAATGTCCATCTGTATATGGTGCTGGTTTTAACCTATAAAGCCTTACGTGGCTTGGCACTTAGGTCCCTTCTCCACCTTGTCCAGCCAAATTCTGACTGACCAATTAGATCTAGCTAGGAGAAACTGCTGCAAATTCTACTTTGGGGGGTGGGTGGGTGAGGCAAAAAGGCCCTATTTTTCTGTTGCAATGCTGACACTGTGTGGCATAGCCCCTCCCTGTGGAGATTAGACTGGCTCTTCTATACTGGTTTGCTATAAGCACCTGAAGATCAAGATTTTTTAAAGAGTCTTCTCCTGATAAGAGTTCTTATTGTTGCCATATTTTATTTTCTTCTTATTTTTCTAGTGCTGATGTAATTTTATTTCTTTTTGGTGTTGTTTTCTTTTTACGTAAGCTGCCAAGAATCATTTTTTATTGCAGCAGCATACAAATATGTTTAATAAATAAATAGATAAAATCACAAGAAACTTCAGTATGCATACATTTCCCATCTAAAATCTGCAACTGAAAGAATGTTATTTTTGTGGTAAAATTATGCATTACTGTTTTTCCTATACTTCCAACTCTTTGGTAAACCCACCAATAAAACTCATTTCACAATGTAAATTGTGATGGGTTGTGCAAACAGATACAATGGAAGACAAAATTTATGGTGGTTACCATACTGACAATGTAAGGGCTAAATTATATGGTAATACAGAAAATCAAATATACTTCACTATATAAAAATCTAGCATAAATTCAATGCTATCTGTAAAACATATACAAAATAAATACTAAATATATTTACATAATATATATTATTATATATATTAAAAATGTTTAACTATATTTAGAGGGACTGAATTGATATTTTTGCATCCACCTAAATATAGTTGCATGATTAAAAAAAAACTATGTAAATAATCTGTCCTAGCCACAGCAATTAAAATTCAATTTCAAGCATAAAAAACAGGTTAAAAGGACCAATAGATGGAAAATTTTGACATACTCTCCTGTACTGTATCTAACTATATTATCCTACAAATAACTTAGGATATATTATTATGGTTTCTCCAGTATCCTTCTTCAATATGAAGGTGTATTAATTTATTAGAAGGGATAGTAGCTTTATGCAACATCACTGCCACTTTCTGTAGTTTTACTGTAACTTTTTTATACCACTATATTTAAAGCTATGGTTTTTATAATATATTTACGGTAGTTTTATGTCATGATGAGTAGCTACGAATTAATATTTTAAGCCATTATTTTCACCTCCATTTTTCTGTTTATATCATGTATGGAAGATTGAAAAGTGGAGGAAATAAATGTTTAATAAGTTTATTTCTTCCAGTTTTGATAATGAAAAGTTGATGATGACAAGTTATGAGGAGAGGACCGGAAGAATGGGGTGTTTTTTTCCAAACCAATAAATACAATTTCACTAATTATATCCAAATATTGGTTATTTAAAACATAAAAAGAACTTCCAATGATATTATGAATATAGCCTCTCTATCTGGTGCAATTATTAGCATTCATAAATTAGAAAAATAAAATCATTTTAGAAAATTTTTCATTCCATCCAAAACTAAATTTGTCAATAATAAATTAAAAGTGAAAATGTTTTATAGACTGCTTTTTGAAATGAGTACAATGAAGTGTGGAAAAGCACTAAAATACAAATTTGATAGGAGTAATTGTTCTCTGAGTTTACTAGTTAGCAATTTATCAATCGCTAACAACTCAGTAAATATGGATGAAAGCACATACTGTAATTTAGTGCTATTAAAATATTTAATTATTCATGAAGTTAAGGTATTACTGTGGAAGTTAAAATACCTGAAATTGTTGTTTTCCCTTTAAAATGGCAAATCGATGGGCAAAACAACTGTATTAAAGCATAAATTGAAATTAAAGCATAAATTCAGACGTATTAGATAAAAATACATAAATTCTACATCACTTCAAAACAAACAAGAATTGAAGCAGGCAAAAGTGCTCCTCAATATGCTAGCAAGTTTTTTGTATTAAAGAAGACCAATATTAAAACAATTAAAATTATTTTGGTTTTTTTTCCAATTGTACTTTTATTTTTAAATGCTCTGGAGCTATTTCTGCCTGCCTGTGCTTTAAAACTCACCACATGTTCAACACTTTCTGGCAGCTAATATGAGGAAAATACAAGGAAGGGGGGAAAAATCAGAATGCAGCACATTATAAAGAAAACTTATATTTGAACATACAGTCAAGTAATGAGTAAGACAGTGACATCAGTTAAATTAATGAAGACCAAATGGATCAAACCAACAATGCCTTTTAAAATATTATAGTATTTCGTTTTCAAATTTCAGCTTGTAGTTTAGGAATTTCTTCAAATAGTTTATGGTACAACAAGTGTACATATCTTGCTTACTTTGTTGCATAGATCATAATTATTTCTGGTGTTTTAATGTGGTAGAGAATTTTACATGCAGAGATTGAAATATTTTTAGTTAATTTCAATTGTGCCTGTCACTAACACTATTCTTTATAGATGGCAAATTTGACTCTGGGTTATATATCCCATTCCCTTTAGAGTTTTGATGCACTTCAGGAGAGAAAAATGAATTGCTTTCATGTATAAAATCCGAAGTGTTTTCCTGTATAAAAACTGCATACTTTGCTGTATTGTGAGTTAGAGCATTTTGTACATTCTTTTAAAAAGTTTTGGGAAATGCTATTTTTTTGCTTTCTTATAAATGGGCTAAATGCTGTTGTAAATAACAGCAAGCTGCATAATGGCAAAATCCCTCTATCACATTATTGTACTAGTATTTATTCTAGTAGTATTATATATATGATGGAGAAATTGTACAGCCTAGAGAGTCTAATAGGTTCAACTAAGAAACCAATTTATAGGTTAGGTAGTTAAAATAGTTATAGGTAACTATTTTTCTCTGGAATTCTGGAACACATTTCCTTTGTCTCTTAAGAGTTTAAAAAAAATAACTGTTTAAGGGCTTCATGTTTTACTTGTAACAGTTAAGAACTTAAATATCGTGAGAGTTTCAATTGGAAAATTGAATCTCACAAAATGTGCTGTTTCTAAAGAGTTTATTTCAAAGCCTACATACTTGGTTTCATCCATAACTTCTACTTCAGTAGGGGCTGTGATGGGTGCATTTGAACAATCAGCTGTAGGATCATCGGTGTTGAGTTCTCCATTTGTTGAGCTTACAACCTGCAATGGCAAACAGATTCAAAAATTATGCAATAACAATTACCTACATTTACTACACTGGTTTATTATGACAGCAAAGAGTTGGAATTAGTGTATGAACATATTATTTCAAAGATGGTAGTATGTTGTTTTTTTTAATTCAGTCAAACGTTTCTATTACTAATCATTGCAAGATCCAATCTGGATCAGTCACTGAGACCAGAGGTTTACACTTCTGAGGTTTTGGACTCATCAGGAAACTTTTCTCTACTGGAAGAGGTGCTTTGATCCCGAGGATGGGCTCCTGTACAAGTCTGAAAGCTCAGAATAGTAAACCTCTGGTCCCAGTGACCAACCCAGTTTGGGTCTTGCAACATTATCCTGGGACACATATATCTGCCTTTATTAATTACTAATAATTTTCCAACTGCTTGTAGAAAAAGCCATCTACAAAAATGGTGATAAGCAATACAAAATATTGCAAGATTTTTTATCTTCACGGAGCTGGGGTGGCCGTGCCTGTGCATCAGTGGTGGGTTCCGGACCCCGGCGCAGCTGGTATGCTGCGCAAGAGGCCAGGCATCCTAAATGGGCACACGTGCTGCATGTGCACCCAACCGCCCTAAAACACCCAGCTGGCCGGCGGAGGTCGTGCAGGCGCCGCATGTTGTGTGCACGTGTGCAATGGGCCAATCTCATTATTAAAGGGCCATGGAACGCAGTGGGCCAAACAAGCCACCATACCGGTCCGGTGGCCGCTTCTCCCGGCTACTACCAGTATGGCCGTACCGGGCCATATCGCCCAGAACCCACCACTGCTGTGCATGATAAATCCAGCCCATGGGCCCCCAGTTGGACATCCAAACTTTAGTGGAAATGGAAAATACAGAATAAAACTGAAGGCAGAATACAGAAACAACCAAATTGCAATTCTGAGTGACTTAAAAATATAATCATTACCAACAGATTGTTTCAATTCAAGTCAGAGAATTTCGATTCCAAAAATCTTCTCTTTAAAGATGCTGTTAATTGCTTTATGATTGCCTAATTTAGTAATATAGAGTAGTATTTCAAATGCTGGGAAACTATGTTAAAGAAAATGAATAAAGTCCATTCATTACCAGGAACAAAATGCACAAAAATAAAACCATTTTGCATAGATGGAACTACTACTTCTCTCATCACTGAGAACCTTTAGTAAAAACTGATAAATACTTATGTTTCTCAGTACATAGAACTATTTTCCCAAAACATAAGACAGGCCATGGTAATTGAACCAGATTCCCATTCAGAATGAAAATGGGCATTGGTTCTTACCTGAGACGCCAGTTCTTTGGGTGGTGGAGATAGCATGCAGGATGGGTTAACTCTGTCCGGTATTCAATTGGACTGAGTCTACAGTTGTGATGTCACGTCTCCTCTGGTGACTCCTCCCAGCTTTTGACTAAGACAGTGATGGCGAACCTATGACACGTGTGTCAGTGCTGACACACGTAGCCATTTGGGGTGACACGCACAGGATTTCATGCGATTCATCCTCGGCTCCTGCACGGCCGCCGAGGATG